TGCTTGTGATTCTCAGCCAGGGTGCCTTGAGATCCTTTCAGGGGTGTTGCAGGGTGCCACACAATGTTAGCACTGTTACGTGTGCCACGTGATTCACAAACTAAATCCTAAGTTTTCAAAGAGGAATCCATAGTCTTAAAACCTTTTTGACCCGTTAAGATCTTTGTGAGTGCTTTGCACAGAAGAACTGCTCTATTTCTTTTGTGTAGTCCAAAAAAGGATTGAAAATGAAGAGCTGGCATTTTCCAAGGGGTGCCTTGAGGCTCTTGAGGGGTGCCTTGGGTCTAAAAAGGTTAAGGTGTGAGGATTTTGAAAGACTGGCAGCAAAGGGAGAGGTTCTGGGTATCTACCTTCTCTTGCTCTTGCTGTCCAGACAGATTGCCTTTGAGTACATAGGAAAGACCTTGCTCATGAGAGAGCGTCTTCCTGTCAGCAAGTGAAGACGCTATTTTCCAAATAGCTTTGCTATTAAGGACCAATTGTAAGAACTTTTGTAGGAGCCTTTTTTCCCCCTTTTTCTTTAGGTACCAGTTAATTGGGCGGCCGTCCATCAGTTGTCGGTTGAAAGGAGATCAAGTTGCGTGGAGTGATCTTCCAACTTGCCAAAGTAAGGATATGCCTCTGGTCTTGGGAAGACTGGAGGTGTGTAGCAGAATAACTCTGCTGAAGAGCTTCACTTGACAGTGTCCAAATGAGGAGGATTTTGTAGAGGTTTTGGGGAGGGGGCAGGCATGATGAGAACTTATAATGTTTAATCCCTCTGGCTACCCACCTGGGGAAGCTTTTCATCACAGGGAGCTCCCCCTCCTTATCTGGACACCTCTCGACCTACTCTTTCTCTCTTCCAATGCAGACTGCATGTTTGGTGGCCATTATATCAGCCAGATTTTACTGAAATGTAGGCCTTCATGGCAGGCCCCGCTCCCCAAAAACTGTATTTCTTCAGGACAAAGTAACCTTGAGGTCCTCATCAAGATAATTGCCTAGGATATTCAGTTTGTTCAGCACACCTCCTGGGTTTCTGCAAGCTCTTATTCCTGTTAGCAGCTGCTGAGGTTATTAGTCCTAGTGGCAGAAAAGCAAAGGCTGGTCTGCTTTTCCTATCAAATGGGTCGCAGATGATGTCAAGACTTGCTACCAGGAGGTGAACCAGGGCACATCAGGCCATGTCGAAGCACAGTTTGCAGAGAGACATGTCTTACCACTTCCTTTGTTCAATTCTCCAGTCCTGGAGCTGGTTAGAACAACTGCCTGCAGTGTTGTTCCCATCCCCTTTGGCAGAGCCCTTGGTCAGTGACTTTTCAAATGGGATTCCCCCTCCTTCCCCTTTCCTGGTAGGAGCAGCGTGTGTCAGTCTCCAACAGTGCAGTATTTATGGGCTGTCCCTACAAGGGAGAGTTTGATCTTGCATGGTATGTGCGCTCCATGACTGGAATCTCCCTGGATAACCCATACCAAAGAGCCAAGGGTACGGTAGAGCAGGTTACCTGATGTTCTTTTCCCGTGTTTAAAAAGGAAAAGAAAACCTGTGACCTAACAGGTGTAGGATATAGCCTGGGGAGTGATGTACTGCAATGTTCATAGCTGCTTTTTCTCTCTCTCGAGCAGTCATGGCAACACGACCTGCTACTCCCACAAGTGACCCCCCAGGACGAGCGGACGTGGGTGTTAACTCCACAGGTAAAAAAAGAACCGCCTGTTGCTTAAAGTTGGGAGGTCTGGGATGTCATTTGCAGTTGGATCCAAATGGAATAGGGCCATCTTATTGTAAGTGCCATGCCCTGCCTGGTCTCCTCTGTACTACAGATGGAGACCGAGGCTTTGTCCCTTTGCATGTTGTTTTTCTGTTTGTTTTCTGACAGCTTGCTCACTTTACAGATCTACAACCATTTGTGCTTTGCTTGCGCAGGCCCCGGGGTGTAGAGGTCAGGAGGGCTGAGCAGCTAAAGGTGAAGGCAGTTCTGCGTTCCTGCCACAATTGAAAGGGTTCAGAGCTGGAAAATGGGAAAGAAGAGCAGTTTTTGGGTGTTGTACAATGTGCTGTGCTAAGGGGACCGTGATCCATGGCCTGGGCCTCTACACGCTGGTGCGCTACAAGTGCAGGAGGGCTTTCAAATATTCTGTCACTGTGATATCATAGCACTGGTGGGTCACCTCTGCTAAGTCCCCACTGGGCTCTTTTTGGCATGACCATGGTCTGGTCTCTACCAAAGCCAGTGGAAAGAGCACTTGTAGATCTGGTGCTTTTTTCAGTTCCCCTTTTTTGTCCCATGTTTGACAATGGCAAATAGACTTTCGTGTCCTGTCCTCATGCCAGGCCTGTAGTTGTGCACGTGTGCGTGCGTGCAGGCACATGTGCATGTGTTTAAAAATGCCAATTGTGTCATCTTATTCATACT